GTTATGAAAATGTTAGTTAACACCCACTAATTTTTCGAAAATGATTTTGAAAATTTTATACTGGTTTTTGGAAAATTCGAAATTTCTGTAAAATCAAAGTGGGGTGTTACATAATCCTTGACCAGTTCTAACCAACGGCACTGTCTCATGTTGAGTTCCTTCTGAGTGAAAATATACTGCAGGCTCTTATGATCGGTGAAAATCTCGCATCGACCGCCGTACAGATAATGTCACCAAATCTTAAGGGCATGAACAACTGTAGCTAGCTCCAAGTCGTGCGTCGGATAGTTCTGTTTGTGTGGCTTAAGCTGGCGTGACGCATAAGCAACGACCTGGCCATCCTGCATAAGGACACATCCCAAACCCTGTCTCGAAGCATCACTAAAAATGGTGAAACTCCGGGAAGGATTGGGAATAGTCAACACCGGTGCTAAAGTCAATCTCCTCTTGAGCTCCTGAAAGCTCGATTCACAACGATCAGTCCACTCGAACTCCACAGACTTCCTCGTCAGCTGGCAAAAAGGAAGTGCAATCTTGGAAAAGCCCTCGATGAATCTCCGGTAATAACCAGCCAAACCGAGAAAACTGCGAACCTCGGACGGACTCTTCGGTGTCGACCAGTTTTGAACGGCTGCAACCTTGGAAGGATCAACCTCAATACCTGCCTGCGTAATCACATGACCAAGAAAAGCTACTCGCCGAAGCCAGAATTCGCACTTGGAGAATTTTGCATATAACTTTTCTCGTCTAAGGGTCTCAAGAACAACCCTCAGATGCTCCTCGTGTTCCTTCTGGCTCTTTGAGTAGATAAGGATATCATCAATGAAAACAATGACAAACTGATCGAGATAGGGATGGAAAATACGGTTCATCAAATCCATGAATACTGCAGAGGCATTGTTGAGACCAAAAGGCATGACAATGAACTCGTAATGGCCGTAACGAGTACGGAAAGCGGTCTTGGGAATGTCTGACTCCTTGATTTTCAGCTGATGGTAGCCTGATGGCAAATCAATCTTAGAGATAACACAGGCTCCCCTCAACTGATCAAATAAATCGTCAATCCTGGGAAGCGGGTACTTGTTCTTGATCGTCAACCGGTTAAGATCCCGGTAGTCGATACACATGCGCATGGATTTGTCCTTCTTCTTGACAAAGAGAACGAGTGCTCCCCAAGGTGAAACGCTCGGCCGAATGAAATCGAGTCGTAATAACTCCTGAATTTGCGCCTTAAGCTCCTGCAATTCTTTTGGCGCCATACGATAGGGTGCTTTAGAAACTGGACCGACCCCTGGAATAAGATCAATGGAGAACTCCACCTGCCGGTTTGGCGGTCCTCCTAGAAGCTCGTCCAGAAACACGTCCACGAACTCACGAACAATAGGGACGTCATGAGGTGAGCGTGCCTTCGGAGAATCATCGACAAGGCTGACGAGATAACCCTGACAGTTGCCTCGTCGCAACAACTTCTTGGCTTTCGCCATAGAAATGACATGGGGCAAGGAACGAGTCTTAGTGCTGAAGAAAGTGATCTGATCATCTCCCGGAAGATATAGGGTAATCTCCCGGTCATGACATTGGATATCTGCATGAAAACGTGTTAGCCAATCCATGTCGAGTATGAGGTCAAAGTCCCTCATCTCGAGAACATAGGCATCGGTAGACAATATACGACCACCGATAGAAACACTAAGGTCTGTGGCTCTGGCTGAAGTCACTATCTTTCGTCCCGAGGCTAAACTCACATCGAGAGGATCGACAGCAGTACTGACATGAACTCCGATGGCATCGAGACATCGTCGTGATATAAAAGTATGAGTCGCTCCAGTATCAAATAAGGCAAAGACAGGAATGTCATTAAGCATAAGCATCCCAGACATGGTACCTATGTGTTGTTCTGCCTCTGCCTGATCAACCACATAAACTCGGGCCTGCTGTCTGCCCCTCTGCTGCTGCTGTGGTGGCCTCTGGGCCTGCTGTCGGGGCTGCTGCTGCTGTTGTGGCTGCTGGGGCTGCTGTGGCTGCTGCTGAAGTTTCTTAGGACAGCGGTTAGCAAAATGTCCCTGCTCGTGGCAATAATAAAAAATATCCTGGCCCATGTGACACTCTCCGCGATGAAGTCATCCGCAAGTGGGGCACTGTGGGATTTGCTGCGGCCTCTGTTGGGTTCTCCTGTCAGTCTGGGCACCTTTCCTCTTCCTCTTGTTGTTCTTCGGTGGCTGGGCAACAGTCGGTGGAACTGTGGATGACTGGGCAGGGGCAACTGGCTGTAATCGATCATAGTTCGCCTCCCTTCGAATGCTGGCATCCACCTCCTGGGAAATGGCAACGGTACGAGCATACGTCTGGGTCCCGTGACCTACAATATTGTGACGGACTGCTGGGTAAAGCCCGTCAGTGAAACGCTGTGCCCGCTGTGCCTCAGTACGTACCAAATCTGGAACAAAAGCTCCGAGTCTGGTAAACTCTCTCTCGTACTCATCAACAGTACGAGTACCCTGTTTGAGCGACATAAACTGCCGCTCCATCTCAGCTCGGTAGTACGTGGGATAATACATCTCCCGGATCATCTCCTTGAATCTCTCCCAGGTACAACCTTCTTTCTCGCCGGGACGCATACTCCAGTAAGCATTCCACCAGAGTCGGGCATCACCGGTCAACTGAAGCTGTGCGCAAGTAACGCGATAGCGATCTTGACAGTCCATGACCTCGAAAATCAATTCAAGGCCCTGAACCCACTCATCAACGATACGCAGATATCCCTGACCGGAGAACTTCTCAGGATGGTAGTCGCGAAACTGTGCGACTATCATGGCCTGAAAAACAACAGGACGGTCAGGTTCTCTACGGGGCAGCATCTGGTCATTTAAAAGGTTCAACATGATTAAAATTCAGTGAAATACTTTAACTGATCATTAAAGCACACAGATCTCTTGACGAGTTGCTAAACATGACTTGGAAAATACTGACTGATATCCTGACTACTGATCCTGAACATGATTCGAG